ATATATATAATTGTAATAAAAGGGAAGAGAAAAAGAGTGGGTGAGGGAGGGACCTAGTGCTGGCCTATGTCAAGCATACTGAGGTGCCTACACCTCCAACCGCTCAATCAGACAATCTGGAAAGAAACTGACAGCACGAACGCCACTGACATCGATTAGCCGCCATTTCTCGCAACGTCTCCAGCCAAACACAGACGGGGTCACGGGGACCCCATCCTGGAAGTCGAACAACACCAACAACACCCAAATTCTTCGTGATCTCTTTCACGCCTTTTTGCCAAGTCATGTGCTGTCCACCTCGCGGTTTGCGCCATCCTGAAGGAGGTACGGAGAACAACACTCGTCTCGGTAGACGGTGTTTTGGCATGCGTAGCACATGACCGAGCCATCGTAGTCGATGATGCTGGATGTTTTCCCGGATTGAGGGCCTGCAAAACAGCCAAATACCCGTTTTCTAATCGCCTCGTTACTGACACACTGACGCCATCCACAACCAGCCACGCTTCTGAGGCATCCGTGGTCGAAAACCTGAAGACGCCTCACATCATCTGTCCGCAGAGGCCATGTCTCGCATCCAAACAATCACACAGCCCTTACTGTAGCCTGGTAAAGCATAGAAAATCAGTTTGATATCGTAACTGTCAGTCGCATTAGATAAAGATGAAGTTATTGGTGGTATTCTTTAAGTGCACTTAATAGGACCGTCTTCCGAGTTTAACGATGCACCAATTTCTTTTGAGTTCGTAAGCGTGCCTTCCAGTGAACTAACTACATGCTGTTGCACGCTTCCTTTCCAGAACATGTATGACCACACCATGCAGCTCCTGATGGAAAGAAACTTGGACGCTAAATTTCAGGAAGAACTCCAGGATTTCTGCACATCCGAAGAACACAAATTGTACCTGAAATTTCTAGACGAATTCCACGCTTATTGTAGAGATTAAACGACAGTCACCTCTCGTTCGTAGCTTCGACTGGAGGAGCATTTCACGACTGTGCATCTCTTTTTACATAATATTTATTGAATCGTGCTCTTTGTTTTATCCAACGAGTTCCACTCTTCTCAGTCACCAGAACGTAGTAAATCTCTCATACGGTAATTTCGGAAATTGTTAAATCTGGGAACAGCTTCGTGTGAATCCGCAACCAGTGTCGACAATGCACAAGCCTGATGGGGAGGGAATTACCTGAGGTCCAAAATGTCGGAAATTCCTGTTGAGGAGAACACTTTCCTCTTTGCACGACTTAATTTGGAGAAGTTCGGTTACGCCCACTGGCTGGAGATGCTGGTAGTAACCGCTGCTCTGTGTTTTAGGTATCCGTTCCGATCCGGACGATTGAGTTCATGTCGAAATCCCGCCATTCTTCGAAGCTTACCTCTAAAGCTTCGTAGTCATTGGTCGGATATTTCTACAGGAATCAAGGGTTCCTGTGCTAGTTGGTCACAGCAGCTCCCGTGTTTCAATGGCGTATCATTGCAACATACGCGTTCCCTCAGTTTAAGTGGTTTACATCATGTGTATGGTGTAGGGTACTTGGACGCGTGCTGGCTTCGTTCAGCACCAGGTTATAAAAATGTCCAGTTCACTGAGTTCTTTTGGTCCAGCCCCACAGGGTGGGAACAAGCGAGAGTTCTGCATGGGAACGGAGTGATGCGGGGATCTCTGCTTGGAGGTTTTCTGAATGCGTACGCGGATGCCGCCGGGTATCGATTACTAGCACTCACTGATACAAGCCGCTTTTTCTTTTGGTTCGGAGTACCAACCAGCCAAACGACAGCTCAAACGTATCTTTTTTGTAGTGGAACCAGAAAGTTTTAGAAATTGAAGGGGCCAGCGCGGCCGGGAATGTTTGAATGCTCTTCTGCCTAATATGCAAAGTGTACCTTAAAGGTCTTCCTTAATCAAAGGTAGGATTGGAAATCTGACACATGACAGATCAACGTCTGGAACGCTTAGCAGGATACTTTCAACAGCAGTTTATTTGACTCAACCGTTTTCTCACAGCTACTGGCTTCCCTTGTACTACAACGCCTGTCTTCGGCAGCACCATGCAGGGTTTCAAAATGGCATAGGGTGTGTTGGTCATACCGTTACGTTTTTTCAGTTGCCTGCACAGCGCCACGCCCCGACCAACATTCGCGGTTTTCCTAGATTTAAAAAGAACTTTTGATTTTGGGTAAATTAGCTGTCCTAGATATTATTGGCCAGAGAATGATGCGCTTTGACTTCGCACCCTTTTTTCCCATAATTTCGGTCTCGTTAGGGTGTATAATGAACTATCCAAAGGCTCCCTGGAACGAGCTGTCATTTTTGTCGTCGAGGTTATCACGGAGTACACACTCCAATTAATCATGAATCTAAGTATCGAATCCACGTCTGAATTTGGATTAAGCAGACGAAAACGTCCTGTTTGACGACTTGTCTGAGCAAAGTAATTTAACCAGATTATCTGAGGTGGTCTCCTTTTTGGTACCTTCAAAGTGCAGCCTTATTTCAAGACTTGCTATCCCCATGGATTTTTCTGAAACAATTAAAAGGTTGTGTTTGTTGACCGATTCACATATCCTGGCAGCCACTTAAACTGCGATTGTACTGTAACACATGAAGTTAGTATGCGGACAATCGAGGCGCGACTGGCGTTGGCCAACTCGTGTCATTCATGGTACCACAACCGAATTTCGCTGAAGCTGCTGTTGTGTATACGAGGCAACTATGAAAAACGTCCATGGTTGCCAGATTTTGCCTTTCAGATCCCAGGACCTTAGACGTCTTCAAGTGTTTAATCATCGGTGCCTCCGTAACACAAAAGTTAGCTGGTGACCAAACGGGTAATTGGTAAGGAATTCAATTCTTTAGAGCAACACATCAAACATTTTAGGCTGAGGTGACTAGGGTGTGTTACGTATGGCACTGTCTACCAAAGAAAGCGTTGTTTTCTGCGAGCGACTGCTGGGTACAGGCCATGATGTGGCAACATGAAATGGAAACGGCTGCTGTCAAACTGAGTGCCAAAGGATCTCCGCACCCTCATAGCCGTGGTACTTGTCATCATCATCACTGTCAGCTGTAAGAAGGTACTTGTCACATCACTGTCAGCTGTAAGAACCGCGTACTGGTCGTACACTGGTTGTAGCTGCCACAGTTTCGTTCACCGATGATTGGGGGGGG